CTGGAGTTTTAATTAGACAGCCTTTCCTTCCTTTTTCTCCAGCTCAGAACAACTACTCTGAATGTTAATTTAGAGACTTGGATTGTTAGGTTTTAATGTTCTCCATCCAGTGCTTTAGTGTAATAAATAAATCAATAAGCTCATTGCTTTGAGAAGTTTGATTGCCGAGTACACTGGGGTACTTTTTGTTCTTGAGCAAGTGATCATTTCACACAGCGAACATTTGTTGAATGTAGGTGTCGGGCTTCTTTGGACTTCTGATTTGCAACCTTGACCTGGAAAGTCCTGATTCCCAGTGATGTGTGTAACTTTCGAGCAGCCTGCCAAATGCGCTGTATCCTTCCTTTTGACAGTTTCCCCGAGTTATGTGTGTCATAAAAACATTTCTCATTTGCCAGAATAGTCCCAAGTTTGTTTTGAATCTGACAGGTCCTCCAGTTCCACCTTCTTAAATCTCACTAACAGATAATTTATACTGAAAACACATTCTTGACAGGAAGTAAGATTGTATGATTTTTCAATTTGGGTTGAAAATCAAAACCAAGTTCTGACAGCACCCGAGACTCCTAGATTCCACAGATTAATCATGATTATCTTTCCGTGAAAAACTTTTTGTAGTAGGAACAACCCTGCATTTATTGTTTCTGTCAGAACCTTTGATTAGAAAAGGGAAGGTTGTCATTTCTTTCTTTTTTTCATTTTGGTTTCATTCCTAAAGATACACTTGCTTATTTCATGGTGTGTTCTGATCAAAATATGGCTACCCTTTGTTTTATGCAATAGGTATGCCCTCAAAGAGTTGTTTCTAAACTGAAATTTTGCAGGTAAATGTATATGTTATGGACACATGAGCTGTTCTGGGTTCTTCTATAATTGAAAAAACTATTCCCAAATTCATTTAGGAAGTATAATGTTCATATATTGGGTCTTATTTAATAAGAATCAGGCAAGATCACCAGTGAGCACCTGCTCTCAGTAGTTCTGGCTCTCATGTGGTGGTGGAGTGGTGGTGCAATGCTCTGCAGGTCTGGAAGCCATGTGCAGGATCCGGGTTAGGTTCCCAGGTCAAGCTGTATGTTCTGGGCATGTGCATGTGCCTGGGATCTTGGCTGGCTGAAAGTCTGAAGGGCGTGGGATGGAGAGTGCCGCTTGAGACTGTGCTGATGGTGCTTGACTTCTCTCTCTCTCTCTCTCTCTCTCTCTTTTATTAGATACATTTTAAAAATAGATAAACTTTAGAAATAGTTCTTTCAGACCAGCCAGCAGCATGGTGGTTGGGGCAGCTGAATCTCACATGACTGACTGTGCAGTTCAAGTCCTGGACCCAGCAGTTTGAGAAACATGCTGGGCATGTGTGTATGTGCATGCCCAGAATCCTGAAAAGAGAAATGGAGGAGAAGGGATTATGGTGTGACCATTGCCCATGTGGGGTGGGGGTGGGGTGGGGCAGTAGTCAGTGAGCTCACTCACTTGCTCTGTTTCTCTCTCTCTCTGACAAATGCATGTGGCTTATAGCAAATTAAAATAAAAAAAGTTCTGCCTTAGTCAAATTGTGTTTCATCCCAATAGGAGACTGCAGGTTTTGTCAATTCTGCATATTCAATATGCTTAACCAGAAAAATAGGCCCCTGTTAGAGCCATCTGTTGCTCTTTCTTGCCTCATTCTTTCAAGAAAGGATATGGGGTGCCAGCTCAGAACTGGGATGAGATGTCACATACTGCTGAAATATTAGGTAGCCATTAGATCATTTCTCATGAGCTTCTCAGCCTAGAGCTCCATGATTCTGTGTATTCTGGTTATCCATATCATGTAGCAAACCACTCCTAAATTTAGTGACTTAAGAAATGTGTTATTGGGACCAGAAGATGGCGTAATGGCTACATTGCTGGACTCCCATGTAGTTGACAGTCCTGGACCTGGTGGCTTAAACTCATACTGGGCAAATGTGCATGTGTGCCCATCCTGAGAGGAGAATGGAGGAGAAGGGATTGCAGCATGGCCATCCCCCCTGGGGGGTGATTTCTTGCTTTCCATCTCTCTGTCTCTCTGGCAAGCACACATGCCCTATAGAAAAAAAAAACCAAAACCTCCAAAAATAGAAAAAGAATCGTGTTATTGTCGCTCACCATCCTGTGGATTGTGTAGATCATCAGGTTGGTTAGCACACGGTTGCAGTCGAGCATCAGGTAGGGCTGCAGTCCTCTGAAAGCTAGACTGGGCTGCATGGCCAACATGGCTCATTGACATGACCAGTAGTTGAGGTTGACTGTGCCTAAGAGCTCAGCTGACGTACATGTGTGTTTTATGTTTCTCACGTGTTGGTTGAGTTCCACGAGGAAGAGTACCAGGAATGAGTGCTCCAAGAGATCTAAGCAGAAGCTGCAAGGTTTCTTATGTCCTTGCCTCAAAACCCCAGAATATCATTTCTATTGGTCAAGGCAAATGACTAAGACCAGCCCAGATTCAGGGGAAAGGGAATGAGGCTCCAACTCTTGGTTCATGAGCATCCAGTAGGGAAAACAGTGGATGAGTTCCATTTTTTCAACTGTCTGCCACATTGTTTAAGAGGAAGAGAATTCTCTAGAGGAATGAAATTACATATTTATATTATCATACGTACATAAGCCACTGTGGTCAGTGTAGGGCGGTTTTAGAATATTTAGCATGTACAAATGAATGAGACAGCCTTGCTGGTTAGAACTCAGTACTGGGGAGGACACACTGAATGAGCCTGTTTCCATGGAAATCAGTCAGGATCACACAAAGGGAAATGTTACTCTCCCCTGATTTAGCCTTAAATTAGACTGCCCATTCTACAGATGTTTATAGAAAGAACTTGGTAAGAGAATTAAAATAGCACTGGTTTAAAGAAATACAAGTGGGCCACAAAATGTTCATGGAAAGATGGAATTAAAGTATGAGTTTATCTTCATGTACACATTTATAAATCCATGCAATTTTTTTCATAATCTGCATTTTTCATGAACTTTTTGCAGACTCCTGTATTTACTCGTGTATATACATACTCATGTATGTAAATATCCTTGTATTCACACACGTATCCTCACATTGAGTCAGTCAAACCATCTTCATAAAGTAGGATCCTGACAAATAGAGAAATGTGAAGTAAAGTGTCTAGGACATTTGTTTTTTAGTTCCCATTTGGGAGGTGCTTGGAGAACGCTATGCCCCTGGAGTGTCTTTGATGCTTAGAGTGGATACATTTTGTGTTCAGAAAAATCAAGTTCTGTTCATGTGCTGGAAAGTATAATTGCCTTTTTAGCCTTAATCGGGAAAACAGCTGCCCTGTTAATCATAGAGAGCTACAGGTATCTGGACCCAGCTGTGGAGCAGAGCTGATCTGGATGCATTGGGCGACAACTGCCTTGAATACGTTACTTTTCACTCCTTATAGCATTTTTTCTTTCCCTTTGCATACTTCTCTCTGGCTCCCTAGGGACTCAAATTCATGTTTATCTGCGCTTAAGATTTAGAGACAAGATAAACAGCATTTTAAGCTATTTATAACCAGAGGCTGTGCCAGAAATGAATTAGACTTGGCATTGGACATATGTTAAAGTGCTGGTCGCTGAGAAAGGTAGGAAAAATATCCCTAGGTGTGAAGAGAAGATATTTAGAGGAGATTGATAGAAGTTTGACCTAGAATGTGACCATGTGGGATTAGTATTTGTCTTAGTTTGGGCTGCCTGTATCATAATATCTTTGACTAATATATAATGTATTCATGCTGGGGAAAATCATTTTGTATGCCATAATGATATATAGTGTTTGAATATAAAAATAATAATAAAACAAACAAACAAGAACAACAGACAGACAAACAGAAAAAGAAATGCCATAGATTGGGTAACTTGTATAAAACAGAAATTTATTTCTCAGTTCTGGAGGCTGGTAAGTGCGAAATCAGGATGCCAGCATGGCGAGGTCTTGGGGTTGGCCCTCTTCCTGGTTGCAGACCGTGTATCTCCTTCTCATTGTATCTTCATGTGATAGAAAGAGTATATCAGAGCTCTTCATTTATAAGGGCACGAATCCCTTTATTAGGGACCCACCTTCATGACAGTGACCTCCCCAAAGATTCCACCTCCTGACACCATTACACTGAGGATTAGGATTTCAATGTATGAATTTTGCGGTGACATAAATATTCAGTCCTTATCATTACTCATTGGTTTATTAAATGTATCTTGTATAATGTTAAGGATAGAGGATTCTAGACATACCCTTTATGGAGGGCTCATATTTTTATACTACCAGGAGAACATTTGGCAAAAGTACAGAATGTGCTCTGGAGGGAGGTATGAAAAAGAATGAAGAAGGAGGCGCCATATAAATATAACCCTTAGGACAGAGCATGAGAAAGATGCGTCTGACTTCTTTCTTGTGGATCATCCCAGACTGAAAAGGCCTCTCCTATTCCTCAGCTCCCTGACAAAGAGGCCACACCCTTCCCACGAGCAGCCTAAATCCTCACCTCTCAGTTGGTCTTACTGGTACAGACCCCAGTTCATCTTCCTTCTTCACTTCCCTTCCATCTGCAAGTATCGATTGAGTTCTTCTCACGGGACAGGTACTACCATGTAAGACGTGTGTGCTCTCATGTTAGGAGACATACAGTAAACCAGCAAACAAACAACTGATATAATTACAGATTATGATTAACGTTATGGAAAAAAGGTGCAGTAAAGAATAACAAGGGGACCCTATTTGGGATAAGATTGATAAGATGATTCTTGGAGGAGGTGACATTAATGATCTCAAAGCCATTGATTAAACTTTGACATGTATTACATGATATTTTAAGGCCTCGTACATTGTATGTTGTTAAGATCATATTAAAGCTTTTTTTTTTTTTCCTTTTCTGAGTCTAAATTGCAGGATTCCAAATAGATGGCGATTCTGGGGAGCAGAGGGAAGCCAGCTGCTGACCAGATCACTTGTGACTGACACTTTCCTCATGTCAACTTTCTCTCCGTAGTGAAAGGAGACGTATTTGGAGACGTATTCTGGAAGGAGGCCACCCTTGCCCAGTCCTGTGCCAATGTTAGGGCTTTGACCTACTGCGACTTGCATGTGATCAAACGGGATGCCCTACAGAAAGTACTGGAATTCTACACAGCTTTCTCCCACTCCTTCTCCAGAAACCTGATCCTCACCTACAACTTGAGGAAGAGGGTGAGCTGAGCTTTTCGTTTTCTTTGCTACAAAAAACAGTCCCTGTTGTACTTTGGATAGTCACTTAGGGCCCAGTAAGTCTCTCTGCTGTTTATTCAAGTGGAGCAATTGGTTTTAAAGAGGTTCTGTCTTGGTTGCTCTGAAGAGGTTTTGCAATAACATAAAGTGAAGTGGGGATGTTGGTAGATTAGGAAATGGATCAATTTTGGTGTAGAAGGAATTTGTTTCACATGTACATCTGTGGGGTTTTTAACTCCAACAATACCTAGGCCTTCTAGCATTTTGAAAAGATGAGTAAAAAATGAGGTTGCTAGTCAATACAATGGCAGCATGGGTCCACTTAATTAACAAAAGCTGAATGCTCTCTAGAGAGAGCGACTGTGAACCCCTGGGAGCTGCTGAGTGCTGTGAGACCATTAGCCAGCCAGCTGGTCATGATGATTATTTATTTTTTTAAATACATGAAACTAATTTAGTTGGATTAAGAAAATAAAAGATGGAATTTGATTGTTTGGAGAATATTTTGTATACAACTGCTGATTTAACTGGTTGAGGAATGATTAATAGTTTTAAGAACCAGATTGCTCATCTGAACTTGTTTCTTCTAGCCTCACATCATCAGAATTACTCTGTCTCTCTGAGAATTAAAATATCTGTCTCATTCTCTAGGTTTTCATGGCTGATTTTCTGGTACTTCTTCTATTACTTTTGGTTAAAACAGTAACAAAGTAGCTCTGGACCATAGAGGAATCATTTAGGAAGGTCATCAGAGGAATCTGTCTCACATGATCTCATAATCCTTCCCCCCAGTCTGTTCCTGCCTCTACTTACATTATCTGATTTGTCCTGGGATTCCAAATTAAAAGCCCTAGCATCAACAATTGATGTTGCTTTTTCCTTTTCTACACCTCTAGCTACTCATCAGATCTGGTTGGTTCCACCTAAACTCTCAAATCTGAGTCCATAGTTGGCTTTGAGCCTCAGGACCCTCACACAATTTTAGGACACAAAGCTCCTCATTATAGACCCTCTTTCCTGGCTGGATCAGGCGGTGGCCTCCAGCCTCACCTTCCTGTCTGTGGTGGCCCTCATTGCAGTGCTTCTTATGGTCACTCGACTCACAGGCTTAAAGGTTAATCTGATCATACCTCCCCCACGACTACAGGATAATGTCTGCACACTGCAGCATAGCTTAGCAGTCATGTACATCTGGTCCAACCTCAGCTGCTTCTCCTCACACCCGTCTTTGCCTCCTAAACTGCCACTGTGAGAATTCCTCACTGTTCTTCTAGCTCGCCACACCCTTTTGGAGTGATGTGTCTCTGCATGCTGCTGCCTAAGCCTGGAATTCTTTCCTCTATGTGACAAACTCCTGTTAACCCTTAACCTTGAGTGAAATGTTCATTTGTTCATGCATCAACCCAGTACCAACTGAACCAGCCTAGACATGTGAACCCCAATGATAGTCAGTTCCTGATCTCCAAGAACCTGAAGTCTAATAGAGAAGATTGGAACAGGAATGTGTACACAATGCCTACTACAAAGATTGTGATTGTGTGAGGAACTAGGGGCGCATAAAGGAGGAACAGGGGGAGAGGGGTGATACCTAGGCTGAGTCTATAAGATGAGTTTATAGACAGAAATGGCAGGTGTATGTATGTGTGGAAGGGGGCAGTTTGAACACAGTCTGGGGAAAGGAATCAACCCAATGCTTGTCACTAGGTTACCACAATAATATGTTTCCAACTTGGATTGCCTTGTGGGTCTTTGTTCAGAGATCTTTGAGGGCAAGAGCTTGGTATACTTGGTACCTAACAGGTAAGTCTAGTGCAGGGCACTTAGAATTGATGCACATTTGAGGATGACATGGGAAAAGATGTGAGCTCCCTGGACCTCAGTTTCCAAATGAATTGGAAAGATTTTGGATAGATCATTTGTATGGTTCTGTGGCTTGAAACCCGGTCATTTAAATCCCGGGGGAGACAGGCAGTGGTGAAGGGTGCGTTCATAGTCCTTCTTGGTCTGTAAGGTAGCTGGGAATGTGATGTTCACTGGTCTTATAAACTCTGTTTTTTAAAATTTATTCTTTCTTTCTGTGAAAGCAAATTGATTATAATCAGTTTTGTGTTGCTTATAATATAGGTTGAAAACATGAGCAGTTTGGGTTACTTGGGAGAATAATTATCTTGGAATAATTGTGGATCAAGTAAATCTGTTTTTTTTTTTTTCTTAATTACTGAGATGACAACAACACACCACCCCCTTAGTAGTCAGATTATTTCCATAAGTACAGAATAACTGACAACTCTGGAGAAGACTCAGGGGCCATACTTGTGAATAGCTGCTGTGGAGGAGTCTGCACAAACACAAGATGCAGAGAAGAACTGACCCTGTAGACAAATCGTGGCACAGTATAAGAAAGACTTTGTTTTATTTTTTGAAATTTTTATTTCTTTCATGAGAGTGAGAGAGACAGACAAGCACCCTTATTAGGCACATGCCATACCTCCCTCCCTCCGCAGCTGCCCTGCTAGCCAGGATTATGGACCTGCATGCCCTGCATGGACAGGTTGACCAGGGAACTGAACCCATGATCTCCTATATGGATCCGCCATCACCCGAGTAGCACGTTACCACTGTGCCACCCAACTGGCCCAAGAAAGACCTTTGCAAAAATCGGAGTTCACCAAAGAATGAAATAGTCTTTGAGTGGCATCAGGTTCATTATTCTGAGGGTATTTAGGTACCAGTGCTCAGAAGCCTTGTGGAAGAGGCTTAGGCACCAGGTGGAGAATCAGACTAATTGATTTTCATATTATTATTTTTTCAACTCAAAGTGCTTTGAAGTCTGGTATGGGTCTAAAAGAATTTTACTGGGAGCCTTTGTAAAGGAGTAGCCATTCTTTTTTTGGAAATACGAGACTTGTCATTTTGGTATTGCCATTGTAGTCTCTCATTGTGTCCTTCTGAGAATTAATTCATAGTTACATAGGGCATAGAAGACAAGAACATTACATGCATGAATTATTCTTGTAGCTATTCTTTTTCTGGCAAAACAAAGTATATTCTTGTGGCTGTTTCTATCTTGGCAAAATCAAGTGTGTTATTTGCTCAGGGCTCTGAGAACACGGTGCCTTCAACATCTGTGTGGGGAGTTGCTTGATCTTGTGGATCTCCTCTAGAGTGCAGCAGAAATGAGCTGGCAGACATCTCTGTGGCCATCCTGTCTCTTCCCCCATTCCTCCAGTACCCTCATTGCACAGATTTGACATTTTGTAGGAAGTAACGGAGAACTGGAGCAGAAATAACTTCTAAATGTCTCACACCTTCTGGGCCCTCTGCATTTAAAGCCTCACTACTTCATCCCCAAATCCCAGTGCATGAACAGCACCCAGCACTCAGCTCTGCTCTTGAGACCTAACTCAGGGAGAGACCTGTTATCCTCTTCCATTTCCTCCAAAGTCACATGACATGTAGGCAATGACGAAATAGGCAGAACCCAGAGGCTAATCCAACAATTCTTATTTTTCTGTCCTTGCCCCTCCCCTTCATTTTGCCACAGAGTACCTGTGCTCACTGGAGAGACAAAGAAGGAAAGTGAGAAAGCATCCCCATGGGGAATGGTCATGCTGCAATCCCTTCTCTTCCATCTCGTTTCCTTTTGGGGGTTTTGGGCATACATACACATATGCCTGGCATATTTTTCAAGCTGCTGAGTTCAGGATTCAAACTATGCAGTAGAGACCATGTAGGATCCAGTCTCTTTAGCCACCACGCCATTGGCTGACCAAATTATTTGTTGTGTGACAGAGAGGGCAGGGAGAGAGAGAGATGGGCATTTTTGACAGGGCCTCGCTATGTCATGATCCCAATTAGCCTCCCAGCTAGCCAGGATTGTATATATGCACAACTGCACTCAGCATATTCAGGCTGGCCTGGGAACTGAACTCATGCCTCCCTATGGCTTCTAGTCTCCTGAGCAGTGGTTCTACCTGTGTGTCACTGCAGCTGGGCCTCATCCAGCATTCTGACCTTCATGTTCTTGTCTGTGAGCTCTAAGTTAAGCAAGACTTCAGTCTGGGTCTGGTCTTTGCCACTTAGTGCTTCGGTGATTCTGAACAGGTTATGACATCTTACTTATCTGTAAAATGGGGATGATGAAACATTCCACCCTGCAGGATACCTGCCAGGATTAAATAAGATAATACTTATAAAGTTCTACACACAAGGTCTAACATAGTCAGTGCTCAATTCAGTCTGGGTTATTGTTTTTATACTCAGGAGTGATACCCTACTCTTTATTATCTTGTGTCTTTTTTTTTTTTTTTGGAGAGGTGTTTTGCTATAGGGCACGTGCACTGGTCAGAAAGACAGAGACAGAAAGCAAGAAATCACCCCCCAGGGAGGATGGCCACGTCACAATCCTTTCTTCTGCTTTCTCCTCCTGGGATCTTGGGCACACATGCACACACGCTCGGCATGAGTTTAAGCCACCAGGTTTGGGCCTCAAACCGCAGTCGACTACATAGGAGTCCAGCGAAATAGCCATTACACCAACTGCTTGTGTCTTTTGAGGAATGAAAAGAAGGCAGTTCTGCCTTGGCTCATACAGGGTTTTTCCTCTGCAGAATGCTCTGAGGAGTAGGCGTTATCCAAGGGTTCTCAGCACTCCTGGGGGCACAGGACGAACCAGCTACCATGGAAAGTGGAACCCAGTACTGGCCTTTCTGTCCCTAGAGAGGTCAGCACTTGTCCACTGTTTTGGCTAGTTCCATTCGTCCAGGGAAATATCAGGCTGTTTTGAGATCTTATGTCAGTCATCAGGGAGTCAAGAAGAAAGCATGGCATGCATCCGTGCTTCTCCTGAGAGAGGCAGCATGTGACCACTCAGGAAGAGAAGGAGAATAGAGCCTTTTTCATCCCAGTACCGGCTCTCAGGTACTTTCCTCCAGGCCCTGATCTCCTCTGTGTAATCAGAGCTTTGCACACCATTGATGGTA